AACTCCATTTTTCCTCACCTTTTCATTTCCAGAGTAATATATCATATGGTCATCCGACTCAAAATGCCCCATGCCAGTCCATCTCATCTTACCAGTGCCTAGTATGTCAATATTTATGCGTTCCATTTCTTTCTTAACAATATCTAATTTTCCTACATTCATGGTTCTCACATTCCATGTCCTAATCACCAGTGTCTGCTTACAACTGTTCCTCTTCCTTTGTATTTCCATACTGGAAAACTCAACCTCCTTTAAAAATAAAGTACTACTAATACATAACTAAATGAGAAATTGGTTGCTGAATACCGTAGAGTATGTCTCTCAGCCTTTTAGAATGTTTAGGCTTCCCCCCCCCCCCATTGTTTTGCTAGACATGAAAAATAGGTGGATGTGATTCTTATCTGCTCTTTTTGTTTTTGTTTATCCATAGTATTCTCCGGAAACGTATCCGAGAAGACAGAAAAGCTAACACAGCTCAGAAGGTTCAACAGATGAGACAGAGGCTAAATGAGACTGAACGAAAAAGAAAAAGGTGGTTATATTGGCAACCTATTCTCACTAAGATTGCATTTGTGTCAGTCCTTTTGGTTGTCACCTGTTTTGGCTGGACATGTTTTTTTCAGCAGAGTGTCCTATAAGGAATTAATTTTGCCCAGCAGACTTCTCTACAAATAGCTGACAATGGTACATTAATCACTTAGATTCGTCTGTTAACAACAAACTCCTCATATCCCACAAATGGTGTGGTAGACTAGATAGCATCTAGATAAGTACTGTTCACAATCCCAGCATCTCAGGTCAAGTTTCTCTGAATTCCAAACTGTAAACAGCTATATAAAATAAAGACATTAATGTTTGTTGAAACTGGTGCATCTTGCAGCTGTATTCATACATGTTAAATGTGGCATTTCATTCTGCCAGATTGGGAATCCTTTATGACAGGGATTTAGTTTTGGAGACTATCTGAATTTTAACATGCACTTGATAGAAGCAATAAATATTGTGGTTTTATCTGTGTTATTAATGGAAAGAAATTTACCTTTAAATGGTGTGTATGATGTATTTTATATTCTTAATCATTTCAGGATTAATATATTTGATAGCTGCCTAGTTTTATTTTACTTTTGTAGTTAATTTTATTTTAAAGTCCAGCTTGAGAGCTCTAAATTTTACATTGATGTAATTGTATTGATAAGATTTCCATTTCCTAAAGAGAAGTTTGATACAAACAATTTGAAATCCAAATAAGTAGTTTTTACTGTATTTTTGCATTTCTTTATGTTTAGAGTTTACCCAATTTTACAGAACGAAAAAGTTTTCATTAAAAAAAATTACTATTTATT